TAGTAAACGTCAGTCCATGCCTGCCTCATCGCTACAGGACGAACTAATAGCAGCAAGCAGCCAATCAAATTCTTATAGTCATATGTAACTACTACATATACATCAGCTTCAAAATAGCTATAGATTACAGAAGGACCCAAGTGAGCGAGCTTCGAATGCGTAGCTTGGTGCAAGCTCGCGGCTCAAGCTCAAGAGAACCGCAGGGAAAGTAACCGAACCACTCTTGTGAACACTAAAGACGATTAGATGGATGGAGAGACTACAGCTAAAACACATTACAGCCAAATTAAGAGAGTAACAGTGGTATCACTTGGCCTAAGTGGGCCAATGGAACCACCGAAACCTAATCTAACCTATTAGATCGATTAATATTTTGATAAAGAGAAACATTTGGGTTAAAAGGAATCTATATCATCTTTCAAACTTGAACCTTCAAACTTCTACGCCTGCGCATCATCAGGTTCGGTTTCTGAAAATCGCTATAAGCTCCTTTCACCGTATGCCAGATATGGGCGAAGCTCGGTCAAATGTTTAGCACGGTCTGCCGGGAGGCTTTCTTCGCAATTCTGTCATTTTCTTTGCGAAAATTGTGCGCTGTGGATAGCCATTCCATTTCTGTCTTCAAATCCTGATGTCAAGGGGCTAGAGCGTCCTATCCTTTCTGCCTAGTCACTTGCGATTGTTTTAGGAGACAAATTTATCTTGCTAAGCCATCTGCTTACGAAAATTTGCAAGCGACTGGTTTTTGCAGTAGTGACTTTCCAGATGGAACTTCCATACGACAGTATTGAGAGCACATTGGATTTAAACGAGATGATCGATTAACGATAAACGAGTCATCCACTAGTTGTCATTCGAAAAGCGCATATCATGAACGGATATTATATATTATTTCGGCTATCCAGGCATTCGCGACATATAAGTATGTACGGGGACTTTAGCTCGACTTTATCTCTATAATCTGAGACTTGGCTGATTCTAGGCGTTAAGATCCATAAGATGGACCTGTGATGCGCCTGGGAGGCGGATCGACTTCAAATAGTAAAGGCTATGACCAACAATATGTGGTGTTCAAAATTTACATCACGCCATCGTTAGCCATAAATGCGTGAATTTGCGAAATTAAACGATTATTATACGAGATAGTTTGCTGGTCGCCCGCCTGCTGCGATTTTAGTGGCTGCCGCCCCATCGACTGCATATACATACATATGAATGTACATACATACATGCATATGTAGTACTCGTAGTTGAATGAGTAGCAGTTGGACGATACCGCATCTCGGGCCCGAGCAAACTAGCTGCTGGCTGCCTGACTGTCGGGAGTTCATTCACCCGCTGACCTTTTTT